GCAAAAAGATCTGCAGCCTCCACAAGAGAAGATGCAGAGACATCATTAAAATACACGGTTTTTGGTATACTTGAAACATTTTTCTTAGACTTTATATATGACCAAAACTTTTTAGGGTTGCTTTTTATATTCAATTCGAAGTTATTTATGTAGTTAACATAGAGAGACTTATTCAAATCATTAAACTTTTTCCTATAAAAAACGTACAGCTCATAAAAGTTAGTCCTCTCAGTACTTTTGTACTTCTTGAAAAACTTATTTCTCAAATTTTTTAGATGCTTAAGCTCAGCAGAATACCAAGGAAGCTTATAAACTTTACTCTTAAAAGTAGGAACAAATTTGCTACACAACGCCAAAATGGAACTCTTAAAACTGCTAAAACAAGTTGCAACTTCATTACTTTGGAAGATAAAGTCCCAGTCAACTAAATTAAGCGTTTCATTCAGACCTTCAAAGTCACAGCGATCAAAATTAAATAACGGTAAAGTTGAAGAGGCAATATTAAAGAATTCATAAAATTCAATTTCCAGTAAAATTGGCATATGATGCAAGTTAGCTGGGGATATAGAAGTCACAGCTTGCGACAGCGCAAAGTTAAAATCACTACTTATAAAAATTAAATCAAGAATTCTGCTTAAATCGTTTCGTAAGCCATTAATTTGGTTTAAACCAACACTCAAAAAGTTATCAATAACATATGACATATGATAGTCAAGACGGAATTACTTTTTTCCTTAATAATTTTTAAGGCAGCCAATTTATTGGCTTTGCTTTGTGCGCGCGACATAGTAAAAAAATGATAAATTCAAAATCTTTATCAAATCGCACATGCGTTTGCTAAGCTTTCGTTTTCCATTGAGAAACGGTAATCATTTTAGCTAAGCACATTATTGGAAAAGTTCTCTATTTGAAAAGCAAAAGAAATTGGCTGTGCAATGGTTATCAAATCGACTTATCAAAAAAACTTGTCAGTATTCATTTTTTGATAATTTGATAAGTTTTTTATGATAAGTAAAAAGTGCAACACTTATCAATTTTACTTTTCAATAAAAAGGCTTATCCAAAAGTAGTAAAGTGATAAGTGATAAGTCATTGGTGCAATTGGGCCCAGGTAGCGGTAGTTTTCGGAAAGTTGAAAAATATATATCGAATACTTGCGCCGGGTATTTAATTATCGGATCCGCCCGAACTTAGACTTTCTTACTTGTTTTTCAACTTATTCTTTTTTATGACGATGCAAATATAATACTGCAAAATATAAGCACTTTGCCAAAAATTAATGTTTTTTATAAATAAGCCCTTAACATTATTTGGAAAATAATTTGTAATTTATGTACATTAGGGTGGTCCAAAAAGGCATGTGAAAAGTAAAGTCGAAATTTTTGTGATCTCATCCCCTAGGATTGTTTTTTTTACCAAAAAAATATACCAATATTTTTTTATTTTGAAATCAAAAAATATTTAGAGGTCGCTGAAAGCGCTCAAAGTTTTCCAAGTACATATTTTAAATTGGGGAGAAGCAACTTTTCGTATAAATGGTATAGAATTTTTAAAAATTACGGTTGTGCCGGATAGAGATTTTGCAGGCTAACCGGATTCCGGATACCATGTAAAAAATAGGAGCCGGATTCGGATATCCGATCGGATATCCGGTGGGCTGCTGTTTTTTGTTTGTTTAGCGACATACTTATGACCAGATTATCTACTCTTTCGAGGTGAACTATCCTATACGTACTCAGTGAACTAAGAAAGAGTACATCGGGTAGCATTTATGTTGAAAATAAAAATAGGTTGTTGCCGATAATTCGGAAATGATTCTTTTTATAATGAAAAATGTAAAATATTTTAACTTAAATAACAAATTTGATACTATTTATGTAATTTGATTATAAAAATACAAAAAAAAAAATAACTAGATTTTTAAATTTAATCTTCTGCAATCGAAATCCGGTCGGATTTCAGGCAGTATTGGGCCGGATATTCGGAAAGCAGAAAAACGGCTAGAGAGCCGGCACATCCCCATCAAAAATCAATATTTTTCGATCGGAAAACTCTGTTTCCCTTGATGAGATTCACATCGGAAAGCAGAAAAACGGCTAGAGAGCCGGCACATCCTCATCAAAAATCAATATTTTTCGATCGGAAAACTCTGTTTCCCTTGATGAGATTCACAACAATAATATCCAATTCTTTATTTAATAATTTTTTCATGATAACTATATTTTATAGGGTTGCCTAAAACCCCGGAAAATACAATGCGGGGACCAGTAAAAAATCGTTAGTATTAAAAAATAGTTAAATAAAAAATTGGGAGTTTCCCGATCGAAAAGTAATGATTTTCAATAATTCTATACCATTTCTACGAAAATTAGTTTTTTTTTTCTCATATAAATACATGGAAAACCTTGAGCTCTTTAAGCGAACACTAAATAATTTTTTGAATTCAAAATAAAATAAGGGGTATACTTTTCCCCCCGACTTTACTTATTTTGGACCACCCTAATGTACATACATATGTACATATATAGTACTTGGTGGGGCATAGTCGTTTTATAAAAAAATGTGAATGAAAATCTCATATAAATTCTCTGGTTGTGTTCGAACCGATTTCATGCAGCAACTAGTTTGAGTATGATGGCGGCGGCACCCAATGTAGAGAACTTGTATGAACTTTGCCAATACATATCTGCGAGATACTTAGCGATGTTGGTTGTAGTCGTTGGTGCATTTGCCGTTTGACGTTGCCGCTACCGTTGCTGTCACCGATAACGCTGTCCCGCTGTTGTTCTGCTGCTTTCGTGAAAGAAGGTGGTGTGCGCGGCGTATTTCGCAAAAATACTTAAAAGACCAACGAATATTTCATAAACGCGAACACCCAAATAATGATAAAGCGACATTAGCAAAGTGAATTTAATTAAAGTGATTACGAGTGCATATAGTGGCACATGATTAAGATTTAAAAAAGAGTTTAAAATATGAAATAGAAAAGCGATCTTTCGTATCAATTTATCAAAAGATAGTTTGCGAAAATGCCAAGTGCAATAAAATAGTGGAAGATGATGAAAAATAATATGGTCGGCGAATCGTGGAAAGTGCAGTGCTATAGAAAATATGCATACGCAAGTAGATAAATACCACTACATACGTACATAAATACTGTGACAAAAGTGACGAAAAAAGTGCTTAAGAAAATAAGATACGCAAGTTTTTGCGAAAAAGTGGATGAATTAAGTAAAGTAGACGACAAACCAAAACTTGGCAAGATTCTATACGACTGGCAGACGTATAGACTGACGGAAATAAAAACAACTGCGACAATAAGTAAATAAAAGCAGAAAACAAAAACAATTACAACAAAAGTTTTTGGAACTTAACCCTGTTAGCAGGCGTCGCAAGTCAAGGGGAGGTGAGGATTTCAGATAGCGACTGGGCCGTCTCAGTTGTAAGTAGTTGTCGTGCCGTCGCTGCCTTGCCCCTTTGGCGCCGCACCCTTCATAACTGAGCTGAATGCGGTGTCGATACTAGGGAGTCGCGACGACACACAGCCGAGACAAAAGTCTGCCTCTGCGTCTCCAATACACTTTTTAGTGTATTTTCTAATCAGCAAATATAAAAAAGGCAACTACTATACCAACAACTACACAAAGCAAAAACTGAAGCGGAAGAAGAAGAAGAACCGAAGCGAATGAAAATCGAACTGGGAGAGCAAAACACGCGCCAGTCAGCACTACGGCAACGGCCAAAGCTACTTGTCACAACCACACCAACGTCTAAATTACGTGGTGGTCTCACAGCATCGCAGGTCGCAGTCGCAGTATTTGCAGCTGCGCTCTTTGGGGCCACTCGACGCCAGCGTTGCCATTTTAGCCGTTTTCCGGCTAGATTTAGCCGGTTTTGATAGCAACTAGCCGGAGAAAATTCGATCTAGCCGGCAGCCGATTTGTTAGCCGGTTTGTAAAAAAAAGTTAGCCGTTTTTAGCCGATTTTACTATTTGCCTAATTTTCAGGTGCAAAAAGTAAACAAGTTGTTCGAAAGCAATAATGCAGACCCAATGAAGATTTTTAATGAAGTCAATGTTTTACTTTCGCATCTATGCTCCCTAGTGGTTATTAGCGCGGACACATTTGATCCTATATGCTCCCCGTTGGAACCATACCTTGCTCCATTTCCTCAGTTTTATCACAGTTTTGAAGAGTATTTAAAAACAAAAGTAAGCACAAACGCTTTTTACCGCGAAGCCGAGAAAATAATTCGAGAAAATGGTCGCTATTTTATTATCACTTCAATAAAGGAATCACGCCAACGCCTTCCTACAAATATTGCCACACTAAAAAAATTGACTTTTTTCGGTTGGAAATGCATTAAGAGTAATTAAACCAAAAGTATTTGTTCAACAAAAACACAAATATAATGCCGACGAAATAACATCCATAGAGATGCTATGGCAACGGTTAACGTTACATACCTGGAGTAATTTAGACTCAACTGTAAAATTTTGGGCCGAAGTTTATCAATTTCGAAATGCCCTAGGAGAAAAACTTTTGCTGACCTTTGCAACCTAGTTTTTAGCTTTCTTGTTTTGCCTATAAGTAATGCAGAAGTAGAGCGAATATTTAGTTCAATGAATATAATAAAAACTAAGCAAAGAAATCCAATGTGCGTTAAAACGTTAAACGCTATTTTATATATAAGATACGGTTTAAAACGTGAAGAAAAAATGCTGCCATAATTTTACTGTATATGACGATCTCTTAAAATTAATGAATTCAGGTGATATATACAATAGTGATTCATTTGATGATGAGGAATATACACTCGATATAAATTACAGGTGTTAACTAGTCTTTCGTTTCTTGCGATTTTTTTAAATAAAGCATGTGGATTTTCACTAAAACATTTTAGCCGTTTTTTGCCAGAGTCTATGTGAAATTTCACTAAAACATTTTAGCCGTTTTTAGCCGCTTTTTTTTGCCAATTTAGCCGGTCGGCCCAAAAAGTTCTGGCAACACTGCTCGACGCCGTGCCCATGTTGGCGCGCTCTCTCGTTTTAACGTTTCTGTATTAGTAGTAGTGTATTAATACCAACAGATGACGGCTTACTATCTAAAACAATAACAACAACTTACAGTGCAGCTCATGTCGGGTGCGAGAACCATTTTTTCTCGGCACGAAGCGATATAGTAATCGGAAGAAGAAGAACCGCAGCAGAATCCAGTTGGATTTTTGACATTTCGGCCTCAGAGCGCCGCATTTTGGTCATCAGTCGAACGGTCAGTCGCGAGGTCGTCAGTTTGGCGCGCTGTTCTACATGCGCATATTATCTTGAAATACACGGATTCATATAAGTACATACATATGTACATTCAAATATATATACGCATAGATACAATTTACGCATACATCCATACTCACACATTTGGAGATGCGCCTGCAAGCCCCACGGAAGTATCGGCCAAGCGAACAGTGAATTTAGCAGTGATGTGAATTTGCAGTGTTTGCGAAAATGCAATGCAATGATTTATTTTCTTTAAAAGTTTGTGGAAAATTGTACGCATTTGAGAGTTTTGATTAGTGGAAGAGAAGAATCATCAATAAAAAGTGATCAATATTTATATACATATGTATGTATGTATGTGCAACTTCTAGTTAACTCGTATTATCTATATTCGAATTGATAGGCTAAATTATGTGAAAAGTAGCTCAAAGCAAAATGAAAAATCAAAATAAAACATGAGAATTAATGAAATTTTTCTAATTTTTGCTGTGCCTGTGAGTTTAAAAATAACTGCACAGCTTTTTAATTCTTTGTTTTTATTTGTAGTCGGTGCTGCTTTTGAAATTCCGTCGCTGCCAAAACCGGGCTGTGCGCGAAGTGCGCAAAGCAAATAAAACGAAACGAGTAAAACGAATGGCCAGCAGGCGGAAGAGCGGAAATGGAGAGATCTTGGCGTTGTATGTGTCACGCGAGTACAAAAATGCCGTCGGAATTGTGCGCGAAAATAATTGAAGCTGCGACCAAATAGAAGTGCAAATTAAAATTTTCAAATTGAAAAATCTAACATAAGAGCACTCTAAGCGCTCGAAAATATTAAAATTAAACGAATAAAAAAATCAAATATTGTGTGTGAATGGAATGGATAACGTGCCAAATTGTGAAGAAAATAATAGATCAACACAAATTATACAAGTGTGAAAAGTGTAAATGTGTAAGAAAATATAAGGTGCAATTAAACTAGCTTCCGCTAAAAGCATTCTATTAAAGCATTATACATATGTAAGTTATTGCGGTGTTATTACTTGGTTCCGCTGGTGTTGCATCTTACTTCGAATGAAGCTGAAACCAGGGCGCGTTCGCATATGCAACATTCAATTCCATTTGATCTCACCTGCCTCGCCGCTGCTTCAACTGTATTCGCCATTGATTTTTACGAATTTTGGTTAGCGAGCTAAGGACTGCCGCCCTACCCACTCCACCACCTTCGGTAGAAGGCAGTGGCCGATAAACGTTTAAAGAAAAAATGACTGAATACGTTACGCCAAATATACACACAGTGCTGAAGAAATATCAGACAAGTGCACCAAAAAGCTTGCAAGGACCTGGCCATGCGCTGACCGCCGCCGGCTGCCCAACCGGCTCCAACTGTCCGCTTGACGCCACTTTAACTGGTGTAAGTGGCAGCGGCGGCAGCAGCACCGACCTTAACATTGCGGGTGCTCGCAATCTTTGCGCTGGTCACCACTCGGCCGGGATTCTACCACCTAACGGCCTAGCAAGTAACAAACCACACTGTCCGTTAATAGTGTCGTCATCACCAACCTGCTCCAAGTCACCAAATTCGGGCACAGCATTGCCACCCGCTGTACCACTCATTAAAAAGGAGGTGCTCAGTTCGCCCGAGCCGCATGAGCTGGGTGACACATTGCCACCACAAACGCTGCCGCTTCCGTTGTCGATGTCGTCACAAACCACACAATCCCCAACCCAAACAGTTCCACCTCAACCTCCCCTAACCACGGTCAAGATCATACCGCCTCCACCACCGGAATTGTCACAACCTATATTTACCGCACCAGATTCGGGTTCTGGTGTATTATACGAAACGCGTCTGGAGGGTAAAACAATTGGCTGCTTCTCGCTGGGCGGGGAGATGCGTTTGTGCCTGCCACAGTTTCTTAATAATGTGCTCGCCGATTTTACACTTGATCAAATAAACCGCATATTCGATGAGCTCGGTATCTATTGTTCACAGTGTACACCTGATCAGTTGTTGGAATTTAAAGCCGCGAAGATTTTGCCACCTGATGTTAAGGCATCTGGTTTGATAACACGCACCGATGCGGAGCGTTTGTGTGCTGCTCTTTTAAATCGTGTCGATCGAAATAGTTACATCAATGATGACGATATCCCAAAAGGTGCCATTTCGTTCAAAGTTTACCACCGCTGTTTTGGAAAGTGTGATGGTATTTGTACACCCGATTTGTACTCATACACTAAGCCTACTTGCATAATGTGCTTGGAGTGTAAAGGCTGGTTCTCGCCGCAAAAATTTGTCGGACATGTACATCGGGAAGTTGAAAACCGTACATGTCATTGGGGATTCGATTCACGTAATTGGCATGACTATCTGCATGTTGCGTTAGACGTCGAAAATCGAGAAAAATACCAGAAGATTCTGGATGAGCTAAAGGAGGTCGAGATTAAGGAAGCGCTAAAGGCACAAAACGAATTGCTCTACATGAAACGAAAGGTACGTTAAGACTAAGAAATTTGTATTTTTATAAACTAAGTCTAATATATAGAAATCCCGTGTCACGGTGTTTGTGGCCGAACTCCTCTTAAACGGATCGACCGATCTCTATGCAATTTTTTGTGTATATATGATAGGTATGAGAATCGGATGTAAAGTATATTTCATTCCGCTAGGCACAGGGGGCGTGCCACGCCCCCCCATACAAAACGAATTTTTCATATTGCATATCTCTGGAAGTGTTCGTGGTAAAGTACTCGAACATGGTATGGAGATATATGAAAACAGTTGCATACTCATGGAGAAAAATTGTGGTTATTGGAAAAAGAGGCGGGGCACCTTCCATACAAACCGAATTTTCCATACTGCATATCCCGGAAAATGTTCGTGGAAGAGAACTCGGAAAAGGGGTCGTGGCTCCTCCCATACAAATCGAACTTTTGATACTGCACAGATATATGCAGTGTTCATGAAATCAATCCCATACTCTTAGAGAAAATTCAAGCTATTTGAAAAGGTGGCGGGGTGCCTTTTAAACGCAATGAAACTGTTACGTATCTTTGAATGCATATACACTTTTGCTAGGTTATTTAAACGGCAATGGAAATATGCCTTCTGACAACGACCAAACCGTAATATTAGAAGATAAATGCGTCACTGAAATCATGAACGTAAACGGTTGTGAAAATGTTGGACCAAAATGTTTCAATACCAAAAATTAAATTTGGGTGGGACGAAGTTCGCCGGGTCTGCTAGTTATACATAAAATATAGCAACATATGTCGTAGTTTAATTTAAAAAAATATAAATTTCCTTAATTGGTAAGCATTATTACTCAGTATCGACAAAGGATTTTGTACTTACATTTAAACAATAAGGTTCTATTCGAAGGAAGACTACGACAAAAACCTTCGATTTGAAAACATAATGGGGCGTATTCTTGTTTTCGTACGAATCGAAAATCTTGAAATTTTCTTATCATTTCCTATACAAAAATTTGAAATTGTCGATTCGTACGAAAACCACTTATATATTAACTTATAAAGCAAAAAAAATTCCATACTTATACTAGTATCGCTCAGTTGTCGAAATTCGAAAAATTTTTTCATACCCTTTTTTATTTTACTTGCCACCAATATGGTGTCCCTTATGCGGATGACGGTTTTAAAGTCTGCCAGCATACGAAAGGAGTGATCACATTTTTCTTCTTACTTGGCGCTGTAACCGCCTAAGCGATTTTGGCCGAGATCAACAAAGCACGCCAGTTGTTTCTCTTCTGTGCCAACTGACGCCAATTGGAAATGCCAAGTGAAATCAAATCCTTCTCCACTTGGTCTTCCCATCGCAGTGGGGGTTTCGCACTTCCTCTGCTACCACCAGCGGGTTTCGGGTTAAACGCGTTCAAATCTGGATCGTCAGTGTTCATTCGCACGACTGGACCAAGCTATATTTTAATTCGTTGAACTATGTCCGTTTCTTTACATACAGCTCATCATTCCATCGTCTGCGAAAATCTTTCTCCCGAACACTCCATGAGTCGCCTCATCGAATGTTGCTATTGTCCATGATTTTGCGCCATTCACCAGCACTGCCATGATGAGTGACTTAGAGGGTGTGGTTTTCAAATGTCGAGAGAGGAATTTACTTCTGAATTGCCTACTCAGTCCAAAGTAGCACTTGTTGGTAAGAGTATTCTGCGTTGGATTTCAATGCTGGCATTATTATTGACGTTAATGCTGGCTCTCAAGTAAACGAAATACTGTACTTTTTCGAAATTATAACTGTCAACAGGGACGTGCGTGCCAAGCCGCGAGTGTGCTGACTGTTTGTTTGATGACAGGAGATACTTCGTCTGGTCCTCGTTTACCGCCAGACCCACTCGATTTGCTTTCTTATCCAACGTGAAAAGGCAAAACAGACTTCGCGGTTTTTATTACCGATAATTTCAAAGCAACATCGCAAAAAGATATACAAGAAAGGCAAATCTCCGGGTGTACTCTCATAAAAATAAAATCGCCGTTCGGAGTCGGTGTAAAACTGTAGGTCCTTCCTATCTCCGAGAAAGATTGCCGAAATATACATTACATAAACATTTTTGAGTTGAACTATTACTTCCATACATATAAAATTAGGGAATATAATACGCTACAAATAGACGCTATCAGTTTGGAAGGAGAGTATAAAGTGTGGTCTGAGCGATGAACAAATGAGGTAAGCGAAAAGCCATACCTAAAATCAACAGCAGAAGTTCTTGGTAAATGGGACGACGAATATGATTTCCGTTGATTAACAAACTTCTCCGCAATCTGACTACACTTCTAGCTAGTAACGCTACTTCAGAAATAAGTTACCCTTCGCCGGTTAAAAACATGGTTCCATAGTACCATGAATGAAAAAAGACTGATAGGTCTAGCACTTTTACACGTACACTTAGGGCCAGTTTTTTAGTGTACGGTTTTAAACTTAGTTTAAACGCCCGAGCTGGCTGCTTTAAACTAAGATTAGCCAATCAAATGTCAGTCCTTTTAAATTCAGTTTACGTAATCTAAGTTTAAACTGCCACTGAAACTGGCCCTTAAATATTGAAATTGACACTGATCGGATAATACAAAGATTCCTAAAAGGAAAGCGCAAAACTAAGTTTGCAATTTAAGTTATTATAATGAAAATTCCGAATAAGTTGTTTAGTTACTTAATTGCATCCCTCATTTGACAAACATTATAAGAAAAAAATAAGTATTTATGTAATATACACAAATATATACTGCTTTAATAAACCCAGATAATAACTTTTAATCTTGTGCTTTTTTACAAATAGTATAATTGTTTTATTACATGGGACTCTGTAAATGGACCTTGCGCCAAATTCACAACATGAAACTTACTTAAAGTAAAATTATATCCAAAGCATTTTTAATTCCGACTTCATAAAAATTACTAGAACCTCTATATGCGTGAAAAAAATAAGTGTTCAAAAAGGTTTAATGCTTGTAGGTCATATAGCTTCGATTAGTCTCTCAGTCACTCCGCTGTGAATCAAGTTAGATGCCTGTAATTTAACGTTATTCGACAAGTCGATCCCAATCGCCCCTCCCCAAATAAAATCCTGTGTCCGCCACTGACAGGAAGCATATCTGACCACAAGTAAGATATTTTAGGACAGCTCTTGATCCCTGCGCCATCTATCAGAAGGTGTGGCAGCGTAATATTCGTACGCATTTTTTCTACAATATGAATCAATTTTCTATTAAATAGCTCAAACCCAACTGGGCTTTTTAGGTGGTATGATTAGGCATGGTCAAATCTATGTCTATGTAAAATTAATAGTTTTTGGTCATATAATTTGGGCACTGGTAACGTTACACAAAACACTGGTCACGTTACACGTACGATTCGCTTCTACAAGGTTTAACCAAAAGGCTTTGCCTTTTCATTTTTTCTTCGCGTTCCTATTATGTCGTCATAAACAAGCTAAAATTGAGCTAAAATTGGGAATCTATAGAAGGATAAAAAAATATAATGTATTATGGAACGAATTTCCGTCATCCCTTGTCAAATTTGGTTTGGAGACAAACCGGTTTCGGCGTTGTGCCATCTTCAGTGTCATTTTTCGTTCTGCATAATTTTTGTTGGTTGCTCGTATTTATGACACTGAAGATGGCACAACGCCGAAACCGGTTTGTCTCCAAACCAAATTTGACAAGGGATGACGGAAATTCGTTTCATAATACATCATACACCCACCCTGTCGGAAACAACAACAACCAAAAAGGGAAAAAAATATAACTCGATTATCCTTAAAAATTGTGGTCTGTGTTTTCTTTTTAATACCATCCAAGACAATTTCAAAACTGATACGGTGGTTTCTACATCTTCGTTAATCTTAAATACCAAAATCTTAATGCATTTATAGCAGTTCTATAGAAGAATTCTCGCATAGACGATTTTAACAAAATAAACTCTTCATAGTTTGGTGTAAACTTGTATCATATTCTTTAAAATTGTAGTGATAGGAATACAATCACGTGAAAGGAGCAGATACTGTATCAGTTTTACACGTTGCAAAAAATTTCATTCAATTCCAGGCAATTACATATATAATCAAAATCTTTAGAGATAAAGATTTCAAAGAATATTTAACAAATGTTAGCTTCGCTTTATTTAAATATAATAGCTATCGAAATTTAGTAGTATAATACTCAATTCGAAATTGTCCACCCAACCACTTTCTTAAATATGTCTTATTTATTTATTGCTAAAATGAGAATGAGAATAGTTATCAAGTCAATAAAAAATTTAATAAAAAGAAAAACACTGGCCTCATTACACTTATTTATTAGGTAGTTATGCAATGAAGTCAGCTACCATTTCTTTTTTTTCCATTTGGCATACGTAGGATATCGACAATACTAAGAGAACATGTTAAATATCCCTTTGTAAAGGATTCTTAAGTATCCGAAAAACAACTTTTTTAGTTTTTCACTGGCTACGTTACACTTAGCATTTGCGGCACATTTCATTACGACTTAATAGGAATTCTAAACAACTTTTTTAGTAACTTGGAACGTATTCTGTTAAACTAATTTATTTTCTACCGTTCTGAACTTTATCAGCCGAAATAAACAAATGAAAACTTATGTTTTTGGTACTTTTCCTTGATTTAGTATTGAAAACTGTTTTACAATTCGTGGAAAATCTTTCGACAGAAGGACCAAAATATTAAACACAAAATGCTTGGACATTATAAGAATTAGTGTCAGAAGCAACTGACAGATATACTGAATACCCATAATCACCAATACGTACAATATTTGAAAAAAAAATGAAAAAATCGGACTGTTTACGGTTCCAAAGATAACCGATAAGGAAATTGCGTTGTTTCTCTAATCATTCTCGAATCGAATTCTAATGTAGTTCTCTAACATTGTCATCGACTCGTGAACGATTAGAGAATTACTCTAGTTATCTTATGTAGAAATCCAAATTTCTCTAACGTTAGAGACTGTATATGCTGGAATACTGCGACACCGATTCTTCTGAAAATTTAGTTGAAG